TTATTCGAGCTTGAAGACCATTATAACAACCTGACATATTTTTAGCTGTGTCATATGATTGTCCACGACAGTCTGATATATTCAATTTTAAATTGTCGATTGTCATAATGACTGTTTCAGCTATTTCCAAAGATTTATGACCAACTTTTGGTATAAATTCTAAAAATCGTTCTGTCGGTGCACCTTTATCACTGACATAGCGAAGGATAAAAGCAAGTTGGTCAGAATGTGTTATATCTGGTGTAGAGTCGACGACAATCGAATAATATTTACGACTTTTAACCTCATTTATGATAACTTCCTTAACTTTTTTGGCCATTAATACAATAATTTCATCACAAATTGTCGATGATAAGTACGATGTAGTACCACTACCAGAGTTACCATATTTCGAAATATGTTGTGCTAAGAAAGGGTCAAATTCGGATAACAATTCAAGGAGCATCATGTAATTTCCATTTTTAGACGATCCAAAAATCTCTTCTTGTCCCCGGAATGGAAGTCCGCGTGAAGCTAATGTTTTAATTACAGATACTACTCTCTCTAAAACACTTCTCCAATACATTTTTTCATGCTTAATTTGAACCAATAACATAGAATCTAATCTTCCTTGTTCTTGTCCTAAATCTTTCAATTTTAGTAAACATGTTTTGTGATTTAAAGATCCTTCGTGTTCTTTAAGACGCTTATGTGCATTTTTCCAATCATTAAAACCATCATTAGCCAAATTAGAAGATTCATTTTTAAATAACCAACAAGGTGCACAAAAAACTTTTCCTAATTTATGGGAGTAAACAAGCCATGCACGTGAAATTTGTTCACCATTTGGTAATTTTGAAAAAAACATAGTTTTGTTACAAAATCTCACTTTGCCTACAGAATATTGATTTTTTGATTGAATAAAATTGTCATTATTATTTTGATCTACCCCATGTACTGCACAAAATTTTATAAAACTTGCAGTACGTAACCAATCTGCCGGATCGGTTGGAAAACGCTGAACTTCTTCTGTTGAATTGTCATCTTGCACCTCCATCAAATTTTTACCATTACACATTTCATCGACATTTACATCATTCAAATCAGCCTAAACATTTAATATTTTTGATATAATAATTTCAGTAATGAAAACCGTCAATTTTATAAATTTGTAAGAATTTGAACTTCAAATAAAATATTTCTTTTGAGTTACACACACGCAGACATATTACTGTAAACAAAATAAAATATACCTAGTAAACTACGCATGCATAACTACTATGGAATCGGAGGACGGAGAATAATAACCAAATTTGTAAACATAATTTCAAGGTAAATTGTTTGTTCATAGATAGGTACCTACTATGTGTAATTATAACGTACAACTACTGTGCAAGACGTGTATAACGGCATAAGTGCATAATGCGTGTAATTTGACAGATAAGGATAACAGTGTACAAGATGCGATCACGAGTTTATTTAAATTATTTATTTTCTTATTCAAAACTCAAAAGCATTCATATATTATATTTTATATACATACCTTGGACTTGGACATAGGTGATAAACTTTTTAATTCTGAATTGTCAATCAACTTTATTACGTCATTTTTTTCAGCTGATTCCATAGGTTTTTTTAATGGATTCTAAAAAAGTTACAATTTTCGTAATAAATATTGAAAAAAATATAAATAATAATTACTAATTATAATATATTATTATATTAATATATTATTATAAAATATAAAAATTAAATAAAGATGGTTTTGTAATTACTAATTTGAACATACTTTGCATAAGAATCCATCAAGTTTTTTTGTTTTTTGTAACACATCTTCTTGTTTGGCCAACTTTTCTTGCCTTATTTTTTTAAACTGGTGCCCACTCTTTTTACTAGACATGTTAAACTTAAATATTATCTCGTATAGGTAGCCAGGTAGGTAGTAGCTACTAGCTAGTAGGTACTGATTAAAATGGTGAACACTCGTTTCTATAATCGTAATCGATTAGCAGAGACGGACGACAGTGCCAGCGTCGCAATGTTTATTATTATTAATTACTTTATCTGATTTCCAGTATTCTAAGAATAGACTAGTTTGGTGGCCGCGCGCCCGCGCACACTTATTGTGGTAATGTGGTGCCGGGTGTGGGGTGAGGCGGGTCATTCCAGTCAATATCAAATAATTTACTTGCTAACTGCTAATTAGCACTGTGCGAGCTGTCCCCCACCTAGCTAGTAGAGCGGCTATATACAATGTACCCGGCGGCCCGAGGCAGTATATTTGACTGCCTTGGCTGGCGTTTTGCGCATGCGCCATTCACAATGTTGTATGTGTTTACGCCACACACCCGTATACCATCTCCCATGCATTAACATAGGCAAAGCCGGCAACTGCCTCGTAGAGTGTCGATATCGAACCTCTAGCGGTCGTGGTGGCGTCGCGGCGTAGCGCGAGCCACCGAGCCGGTCGCAGGATTAAACTCAAACGACAAGGGTATTATACTATTATAGCTTATAAATTAAAGCGTTACTGCAACGTGACTACGTGAGCCATTCTCCAGTTTCATGCAAGTTGTATGCAAAGAAAAATTAACATAAAATATAAATTTAGGTAAATATAATTATACAATTATGAAAAACTAAAAAATAAAAATTTTCTAAAAAATTGCGCCCCAAAAAATATTGCGCCCTAGGCACGTGCCTTGGTGGCCTATGGGTAAATCCGCCCCTGAGGTTATGTACTGAGATATTGAACAAAATATGATGAAATATTTTAGCCAATTTCAGTCAGTTACTTTTTTTTTTAATGGACTTTACAATTTGTTTAAACGAATTAAAATTTTTTTTTAAGGAAAACTTAACTGAATTTTTTTAATTGCATGTACGTTACAGATACGACTGACACCTTGTGAATTATTATAGGTACAGAAAATTAGGAATTTATGATTTTTGGACTACATAAATGATAAAATACAAACTACCAACCTAGTATTATTATTTCTTATACATTTGAAACCCATATGTCCAAACCCTAATGTAGATTACCTAATAAAGTAAATATTGCAATTATATCAACATATTATATATACGTATATTAATAATAACAACTATTTATAAATTATAAGAAATAATAAGAAATAATAAAAATCAGTTTCGATAAATATAAAAGATTCGTCACGTGTTTTCTTTGTTTAGTACTTTTTGTATTTTAAATTTTAGCTTATATGGAATGTCGATACTATTATAATAATTATTAAAATTATTATGATCTGATCATTTTCGGAATTCTCCATGATAACCAAATAATTAGTTATTAGAATTAGATTATTTCAGAAAGATAAAAATATTACCATTATAGTATACAATAATATAGTACCTAGGTACCTATATAATATATATACCATTGTACATTTTTACATAATGCTTAATATATGTATACTCATAATGTATATCGATTCATAAGCTTTGAACATGAATTCGTTGTGAAAAAGTAATTAATTGCAGTTTTTATTACAAAATCTTAAAATTTGGTAAACAAGTATGAAATTAATTTTATAATTATAAATATATTTTATTACTAAATGTTTAATTTATTCACTTTTAAAATAATCTGTTTGGATGTAACGCGAGAGTTAAATTATTAAATTAGGTCGAAGAAGATTTAAACGTCGTCGCCCCAACCGGTAGGTAAAAACACTGGTTAATCACACGTCTAATTGTATAATATTATCCCTCGGCAACTACTTAATTAAGTCGGGTGAAAATTTGTGAAATGAACAGCTGTACTCATAATATTTTAATGGGATACCAAGACGAGAATCTCATAAATGTATAATGTGGAGATATATTTTTGAATGAAAAAAAAGCGAAAAGATTAAAGGGGGAAATGTATATTGCAGCAGTAATCTCGAATATTCACTAATACCTATACAATAGTCGGAAAGTTTTAAAAATATTCTGCAATTATATATATATTTAAGAAATACACGATGATTTTTCTGGATTTAAATCGCCTGCACAGATAGTCGTAATAAAACATTTAAATTTTAGACAGTATAAATACCTACTGCAAGATAAAATATGAAAGGGCCAAAGGGGAAACGAAAAGTGATCGACGGGGATTAAAGTATATAAACCGCGGAACGTCGTCTGTCAAAAAAGATTTGCAGTACATTTCATGAAATGTATCGTAATATCGTATTAAACGTATTGCGTACGTATAATGAAAAAAAGTTTTAGGATATATTATGTTGTTATTAGGCAGATTGCCCGTCCCTTAACCTTTGCATGCTACTAGTGTCACCGTTTTTTCTCTTTAAGTTGGATTATATATTTCGCGTTTTACCTAATTCACGCTGTATACTATATTATAATATTAGGTATAATATGGTCTAACTACGTATATTGTATATTATTATTTATTTCTCCAGAAATAATTAAATTAAGAAATCATGTAAGTATAATATTATATTGTATAATGTATATAAGCTAGAGTGGGCCGTGGTTTTAAGATCGTATTAACGTATTAAAAATAAATATTATTGTACCTATACCTATTGATAATGAATATAATCTCTCATCAATTATATACTGTGAATAATTATTGTATACTAATTTTTCTGTCGTCGCTCGTGTTTCAGAAGTTACAAGACGTCGTTGATCAATTAGAAAAATCAGCTTGTGGTCGGCGCCAAGACGAAGTTGACGGTTTCGGTGAAGGAAAGCTGCGACAAGATCACGGTGAGATATCGGAACACCAAGATCACGGTGCGGAATACGTGCCACCGCCTCTCGGTCACCGTGACGGTCAAGCTGCAGGCATCGACGAACCGCGGGGACGGTTGATCGCCAGCTGTGACGTCCCGCTGATCGTCACCGGTCCGGCTCCCATCTATCCGGCCATCCGCGCTTCGCACAGTCCCACCACATCCACCATCACCACCAGCCACCTGCAGCTGCAGCAGTGTCTCCAGAATCCTAAGGTCGAGGGATCGACGACGTCTTCTGCCCTACCGGAAGTCATGTTGCAACAGTATCAGCAACAACCGGATTACACGCCCTACGGTGGCATCGGGTACGGTGCGCAGCCCAACGCCGGTTACTTCAACTATGCCGCCACCGAATCCTGGTACGGTTCGCCGTCATCAGGCGGCACCGATCACGCGCAAATGGTGAGTAGTGGTCCAACATTTTTAAACGTAGGTACCTCTGTACAACTTTAAGATAGTAAGTACGGTGAGTAATATAGATACCCCTAAGATTGCACGTGTGTCTTGAGGCTAAGGTGCGAGTCTCAGTCTTATAGTACCGCATAATGTACAAAAATATACGTTCAGCCGTTTCAAATGTTGTGTACAAATTCAAGTGTTGTTAGCCCTATATTATTTAACTTAAAGGTAATACTGTTCTCTCGTTATTTTTACGGTATTTAAATTTTAAGCGAGTTTCGAGTATGAAAATATTAATAAATGTTTGTATAACTCGCTTAGAAATTATAATGTTCGCAATATTGTAAAACACCAACGACAGTACACAGATAATGTTCTCGCCTTTGTATTCACTATAATTGTACAGCCAACGTGTAATACAATATTGGAAACGCTGAACGCAAATTTGCTGTGTTGTCCTATGTATAAGACGGATACGCACATGTTATACAGTGTTTATCGAAAGTATGGTTAAGTTTGATCTGTGATCGTCGGTTTAGTGTCGTTGAACTTTTGTCATCGCTATTATCGTTTACACGTATCGCGTAAAATATTTTAATAACAATAATAATTTTATATGCGTATGTTTTAATATCGCAGTCGTGCATTATAAGTTATAACCTATAATACGCCCGGGTGCCCGACGATAAGAATAATGTAATATTATGTTATCGCTGTAAAATGCGAGAAACGCGTTGAATTATTCGTCTTATGTTTGCGTTTAAATTTGTGTTTCAGCATGCCAGTTTATCACATAACGCGTGCAACACACATATCGGCGACAGTACAGGAAACTTCCTGAACCATGGTTATCATCAGGCTACGTCGACAGGTTAATTTCGTTCCAAATAATATTATTATTACATTATATTCTATCTCTCACACAAACTTGAGTACACAATTGTGTTCGCTCTACAGCAGTGATGTTACCTATACTCGTATTATACCGACTGAGTCGTATACTATTATAATATGGTTTCCATTTATGTTGTGCAAATGACGTTATCTGTATAATTTATGCGCGTACGTCATATAATCTTTGCAGGAGCGTCGACGTCTTCGGCAGAATCGTTCGCCGCCAACAACCATCCGGTGTCCCAGGCCGACATGACAGACCCCATGGCTGATTTCTTGGGCGGCCACCAAAACATGACCGAAAACGATAAGATCATCAAGGTAAGTCCGTCGAAACCAACTGTGAAAAATCTGTATTATTCCATTTCCTATAATCTATATCATACACATATATTATAGTATAACGATTAACGATATATTTTATACACACTGTCTGCACTCGCTGCCGTCCGTCCACATATTAACGCCACTTGTACGTTTCTATATTATTTATTTCTATAGTTCGTCAAATATGGTGATCCGTCCGTCCATTCCTTCCTCGTCCGTATCTGCATACATTCCCGTTTGGCATCCGTCGCTAAGGCTAATATTTATAATATACCTATTCCATTATGTTCCGCAAGTGTTAGTAAAACGAGAAAACCATTTTTTTTTCCATGCCGATTTCACAGGAGGAGTCCATAGACTGGCTCTCGACCATCATAAACGACGAAGTTGTCGATCACGGCAACCGGTCCGACGCTTGTGATGGGGGCGGTGGAGGTGTGGCGGGCTCAGGTGGTAACGGCAAACTCGTCGGTGACTTAACATGCGAGGGCAGGGAGTCCAACGGCAGGTTGCCAAACTTTCATCAGGCCTTCGGGTCCACCGAGATAGGCAGGTTCTCGCAGCATGAGTATTACGAACCTCCGAAAGACACGGCAATCGGCGAATGTCAGTCGGCCGGTCGGTCGGGCTCAGCCGCCGCACAACAGCCCGGCGTCGGGACGTCTCAGCGATCCGACGAACAGCACACGGCGGCGGCATCGTCGTCGTTCGAACCACCGCGGCAACAGAACAGGCGTGGACGCGCGCAACGTGGCGGCGGCCAAAACAGGCGTAACAAGCAGACCAGAACGGCAGCCGCCGCTGCTGCAGCGGCTGCCGCCGTGGCCGCCCAACAGTACGCGGGTTACGACGTGACCGGTGCCGCGGTGGGCAGGCACCAGGTACCTCCGTACCACCACCAAGACCCGTACAACCGGAACCATCATCATCACGCCCAACAGCAGCGGTATCACCAAGAATACCATCACCAAAACCAGCAGACTCCGTACCAGAACCACCAACAGGAGTATTACAGGCCGTACGACCGGATGCATTACCAGCAACAACAGCAGCCGTTGCCATCGAACCAGTACTACAACAGCAGCAATGGTAATAACAACGGGGGCGGAGGCAGTGGCAGCAACAGCAACATCAGCATGAACAACAGTAACCGGGAACAGTCGTACGCTGGCGGATACAACCGGTTTCACTCGTGCTGCTCTACAGAACACATAGCCAGGCCCAGTCATCACCACAACTACGGTCCGGGCCAGTACTACGGTGATTACAACACCTACAACCAGTGGTGATGAGAAGTCCTCATCATCTCACCGCCGCCGCCGTGTCGTAAAATATCGTTTTTAACGTCGTTGTAAAAAAAGAAAAATAATAAAGGTATGTTTCGTTTGTGCGCACCAACAACGGCGGGTGTGCCTTTCAAACACCCCCTCCCCAAAACCCAGTCACCCCACCCCTATCAGATACAAAATTAATATTTTTAACTCACTATCTGTGATACGATGACGATGGTAATACACGGTATAACGATTATTTCATGTATTATTATCACACGTTATTGTGCAACAACAACATTTGTGGCTTAAATGCGAGTAGAATGCCGTTTTTTTCTCGGACACTCAACGAGTCAATTATAACGTCGAAAACGAAATTCCCGATTTGTATATTTAATATTCCTCTCGTGACACGTTTTACAACAGCACCTGGCGTGTAAAAACGGTAACTCGATGTCCTATTTAAAATGATAATTTTATGACTTTATAATTATTCAAAACAATATTATTATTGTTGCATTAATATAATAATATGTCGATCAAAAACCGAGCTTGTGGTCGCTGCGTCCCACACGACCGACAACGGCATTATTGCGCATGGACACCGAAATCGTTGGCCTCGAGAGATCTATAATATTTATGTGAAATTACAACGTGGTGCCAGAGAAGACTTTCGGTTTTGTCAGATCCGTGGATCATGGATCCTCCAGCGTGTGTCGTCCTCATAATACGCGTGTGTTCTTCCCCCAAACGGGAAAGGGAGAAAACAAACCACGACGACGAAGGTCTTGTCTCGTTTCGATGTTTTATTATCGTATAATTTACATTATAGTGTTTAAGTCGTTGTGCCTTATTAATTAACGGTTAATGTTGTAAAATGCACCATTATATTATTATTATTAAATTATGAATAAATTATATATTACCTACTGTATAAAATATTATCGATAGCATATTTTTTTTTTACATATATATATTATTATTATATTATATAAGACATAATTGGCGAGCGAATCCGCGTTTAAAAGAAGTCCGGTGCCGGCAGTTTTATTTACATTTTGTTTTTATTATTATATTGTTTAGTTTTGTTTTCCGATTCCGTTTGTATATTAAAATATAATAATATATCGTATCTGTATTGCTGGTAAGAGGGAGCAATATATATTATTTCGTTTTAGAACAGATAAGACAGAGCCTGCAGCAGTGTTTTTATCCTACTAATATTAGTTGTCCGTTTGTATCATTACTATATTATTATTACTATCGATATTATTATATTTTGTACGTGCGTAGTCTTCCTGAATACATTATGTTATATTATATTAATATTATTATTAGGTCCGGCATATAATATAATAATATTATTATATTGATGTACGAGATCATACTGCGCTAGAGCTTCCTCTGTTAACAACCTCATCGCGACAATATCGCTTACGGGTCATTGCGGCCTGCGGGACCGTGATTAGTTATATTAATCATTATTATTATTATATATTATTTTTTTTATGGTCATATCAGTTTTTATTATTTGATTTTTATTTTTGAAAACGGAATTTAGGCTCAACTGTTACACGGACCAATAGTATAATGAATTTATATACCTACCTACCTAATTATGAAATATTCATAAACCGAGTTTTCTGTCACTGTGATCGAGTATACATTATTTGTTGCACACTAATATTATGTCAAATAATGATGTATTATTATAATACCGTAGTGCGTGTTTGACCTTTACACGATAAAATTAAAACAAATAACGATAGAGCCATTATACTCCTCTATAAGTTCGTAAATCGTGAGAAAATAAATTAATAATTAACCTGCAATAGCTTATAATTATAAAATATACATTATTTTAAAGGAAACCACAATCTATATTCTGTATAGATAGATACGTAAATTTAAATTTTGAGTAGAGAACACTTCCCGCAAGGTACATAATAACATTGCAGCGTTAGGTATACCATCACGGTATAATAATAATATAATATTATGTGCATACACACAAAACGGCTTGATAATATTATATATATTTAGTACAGTTGACAGTGTAAATTGGGGTCGAAAATGTATGGAAAAACATTTTCTTTTCCGTTTCGTCTCTAACTGCAGAGTGGTCGTCCACATACACACACGTGCTCGATTAGGACGTAAATTGGTTATAATGTTGATAAATAATGTTTTATATATGTTTTTTTATGTTATGCTCGCCAACGTTATTCGAACAACACTCGACACACACACACACTCGAGACTTGCCATAATATGATATCATATCAGAAAATTTAGAATGTGGCCGTGCCATAATATATCGATATTTGCCTTCATTATGATTTTATCTTCTCGTGCGATGTGAAGTCATTATAATATGTGTTATTTCACACCGCGAACGACTTTTTATTTCGTCAGTCTACCCCGACAATCACACTGTATATTATACTATTTAACCCTCTGTTTGAGGTACAACTCGATGTCGTAATATCCGATTCATATATCGTGTGGAAATGTACCTGCAATGACAGATCATCACCTTGCGTCGACTTCAGAGCGTGTGTATAGTGAGGGTCACACGGACGTGTGAAAACGATCGATGTGTACACCAACTATATTTAATTATTATAATATGATTATTATAGTAATAATAATAATATCATGCCGTATATGTACTGTAACCGGATACACATACACTGATAACCGGGTAATCGCGGTCGTCCGAAAAACCGTCAAACCATATTATTATATTATAATATAGATTTTTTATTATTACTATTATTAATTTATGCACACATTGCGGTTCAGTCCTCTTGCAGTGTTGTGTATACAGTTCTCCTTTAGGTTATTATTTTATATTATAAAAAGTGTTGTTAACATTACTATTATTATTATTATTATTAATATTGTACTATTATGTTTTTTATGTTAATTATATCCCCCCTCCGCGCGATATAAGTACATATTATTTTATTATTGTATAATTCGATTTCGAATATTATTATTGTTTGTTAAAATGACTCGTTTATTTTTATGTTATTTCAGAAGACTCTGCCATAGTTAAGGAAAAAAATGTTATGTTGTCTGCTAAAAGTACGCGGAATATGTATCGGAACAAAATATCGATTATATTATTATGTACCTTGGTTATTTTTTATGGAATTAAAAACACAATACATTTGGGATGGTTTTTGCATAACGTTAAATTATATGATTTAGGCTGCATATTATATAGTTATTGGATTAATTTATTATAACCCTTATTATATTATTGACTTTTGTAAAAGACAAACGAAATAAACATATTATGTTACTGTAAACTGTTACCACGCTTGTACGATTATTGTTTTCCATATACATTATATTATAATATTAAATATTGTTTTCGCCAACTAAACTCGAATTCTGTTAACTGTTCGACTTGAAATACGTAAGTACCTGTATAAATTAATAATGTTAAGGCAAATATATATCTCTTAAAATATCTGAAATCAAAACTGTTCGATTGCTTTTAATAGTCAACGCATATTTTATAATGCGTGTTTGTGAACTTAGCGATACATAATTTATGATTACTGATTAGTTTTATGCATTTTTGTGATTTGTGTTTAAAAACAAGTTGTAGATCATTATGCATTTTTCAACATGTTAATAATATATTATATTTTTGTTTACAACGAATAACGTCATTAAACTAATTGTAGCAATATAATATACAACTATATGTATATATAGTATTGTGTACAACACAGAGACTCGACCAAAGGACAAATATAGTTTGTCTTTTAGTGGTAATAAAAAAAAAAAAAGACTTTTATTCCAAAACGTTCATAACTAAATAGGATAACTTTATCCAACTGTTATTACGACATTTAAACTCCACAGATAGTTAATTATTTATACTCGAGTATACCTGTGGCAGTGTGGCTATAGCTTAAATATGTATTTGGCCATGTAAGCAGGTATGTAATAATTACTTCCAACATACAAAATATGACGCAAATAACACATGCACAGAAGAACAATGATTAATTGCCATTATATTATTATATTATTTTCTACAGTCTTTTTTTAGAAATAAATTTCACTATATTTATATATTATACTAAATTCTCATCTAAATATCTAAACAATACATATATATATAAATATACAATGTACATATTATATAATATCAATAATATCATCTCCAGGATGATTCCTTCTCTGATTTTGATGATTAGTGCAATTTAATTTCTTATTGCTTATAAAATGTAAAATATTGTCTAATTTATTGTGTTACATATTTTGTTTACAATAAATATATTTTTATATTTAATATTCTATTTGTAAGTTATATAATACTATATAGGTACCTACGTTGTATGCTTAATCAAATCCAAGCCTGCAACACGTACAAGTTTAAAACACACGGCGGTCACTCAGGTACCTATTGATTACTGTACCTACACCTACTCATAAGTCGTGGGTAAGTACTGAGAAAAATCCAGCGGTTTTAAAATATTTTCGAACTTGGAGTAAATTGTAAATTAAATTTCTAATAACAGAATACGTGGAAATAAAGTACTTTTAAAATGTAATAATAATATTATGATGACGCTTCAAAAGGTATATAAATATAATAATATAGTAATGAACTGTACTTGTACATATAACTTATGGGTAATAAAAACCTATATAACTGAAAAAAATTGCTATTGAAGCAGTACGAAACAGTGCTGTTCTAAAAACAGTGTTGTCTGTCCCATAATTGAAATGAAATATTATATTTTTGAACACAATATGTATTTAATAATACTATGATTGACGATTGTTTAGTATAATTTTTTTTATTTTTTGGTAATTTTTAATCATTTTACACTCAAATAGACTGAGTATGATTTTAATCAAAGTTATAACTACCGTTACAGCTGTTTGCATTCTGCGATATTGAATCATATCGGTGGGGACGATAATAATAATATATTATTTTGAAATGACCCTCGGCAATATTCATTGGGTGTGTGAGGGGTGGTTACGGT